ATTATGAGTATGTGTGTGTATATCCATGTGACTGTGTGTTCATCTATGTGTATATGTGTGTTAGAACATGTGAAAGCATGCATCTATGTGTACATATGTGAGTATACATGTTTTAGAATGTGCATATATGTACACATGAGCATGTAGGTTAGTGTGCTAAGTGCATATATATATGCATGTATGTGGGTGTATATTATATGTTTATGCATGTGTTAAGCTCCCAATATTTTAGGAAAGGGGTGAAAATGAAATAACTGAGTGGTCTGGGGCAGGGATAGTCCTTTTTTGGAGAAATATAAAAGTTTTAAGTTAATAAGTTTTTAAACGTTTATTTTTTAAAATAGGGATTTTTGAGACTTAAAACTGAATTATTCAACTGAATTAAATTTAAGAACAATTACAAAGACCTCCACCTTGGGTGTGTGGCCCTTTGCTAATCCCTGATAGTGATGGGTAAAAGAGAAGACCCAGAATCTGTGTGCGTGTATGTGTGTGTGTGTGTGTGTGTGTGTGTGTGTGGAGAAGGGGAGGAATAGTAAAAGCAACTTAGACCTTCATAGTCTGTCATTTAAGAAAGAGAGGGCTGGAGAGATATCTCAGTGGTTAAGAGTACTGGCTACTCTTACAGAGGACCCAGGTTCAATTCCCAGGACCCACATGGCAGCTAACAACCGTCTGTAACTCCAGTACCAGGGGGTCCGACTCCCTCTTCTGACCTCCTCAGGCATTGTGTGACACAGGTGTACTTACATATATGCAGGCAAAACATACACATAAAATAAAAATAATAAATAAAATATATAAAAAAGAGAACAGGGCTGGTGCATAGTACAATAACAGAATGCTTGTCTGGAATAAGGAGGCCTGGGTTCCAACCCCATACTACAAAAAGAAAAACCCAAACCCCAAACTGGAGAGTGAAGAACAGAGGCAGGACAGCCCAAAGACTCACCCTCGACCCAGACTGCTTATTTCAGGGTGTGAGTCAAGAGGCTGGCTTAATACTGTTTCCTTTGTAGTGGAGGTTAGCAGAAAGCAGCCAGAGCTCTCCAGCAGCCACTTGTCCTCTGGCCTCAAGGGGCTCCTGCTGCCTGCCTGTACCAGCCCCTCCCACTGGGTAGAAAACCTCCTGCATGGCACAGGCTTTGGCAGCTGCTGCCCACCGCCACTATGCTCCCACAGGTGGCAGCCCTTGAAGCTGCGGTCTTCCCACTGAGTGCCTTCACCTTCTGCCTTTGCTGATTTCCCTGACACGGTGACTGACCTGCCTCACCCCTCTCAACACTCCAGATTTCTCAGAACTTCTTTGAGTTGTCTTCCTCCACCCTGCTTCTCTGACCTTCCAGGAAAAAGCAGAGACTTTGAAGCAGGTGGCATGGAGTGAATTTAACTGCCACTCACTAGAGCTGTTTCCTTGGGTAAGCTGCTTACTGTGCCTCAGTTCATACATCTGTCAGTTGGACGACAGGCTAGATGAAGCCAGAAAGCACCCAGAGGGGGTGGTTGTGAATACTCCCTGGAAAGCAGCTGTGTGAAAGAGGCTCCCAAGAGCAAGTGACTTGTGGGTTAGGCTTTGATGGGTGCAGTGTGCCTTCTAGACAGAGGGCTCAATCCTACCTAGGGAGAAGTAAAACAGCACAGGATGTTTGGAGAACTGTAACTATGATAAAATTGCTGCAAAGTGGGTCCAAGAAAATCTGGGGAAAAGTGGCTAAAGAGGAGGTGGGACTCCTATTTCAGAGCTTGTGTCAGGAGCTGCTGAAGTCATCATGTGCTCTTCCCATACAATGCTTCCAGCTGCCTCCTCCTGGGCCTCAACCCCTGCTCCAGGCCAACTGTCTCTGAAGCCCTTACATTTTGCAGGCTCCTGTGGCAGGGCCTTTGCACACAGTATGCTAGAAATGTATCTTATTCCTACTAGCACATTCCTGTCTCTTCCAGAAGTTTCCACTAGTCACTTTTGCTGAAGGGGAGCATTGCTTCTCTGGAGCTCACTTGCTGCTACTCTACCAACAGGATTTTCCTGGCCACTACTGAAGCCAGCATTGGGTCCCCACATGTCACTGAAGTCAACTTTTATTGCCCTGGGACGCTGGTTGTAGTTCAGAAAATGTGCCCCCTACTGTAAAACACTTAGAGATTGTCATATGTCATAAAACTGTGACCTCAGCCAGCTGTAGGGACTTTTCAGATTTGTTCCTTTGGCTTATGATCCTAGAGGAAGGGCTTGGGTAAGGTGATTAATAAGGGAACTAATGTTTGTTTTCACCTTTGTTCAAGAGTTTCTTAACAGCAGGGACTTCTTAAAGACAAGGCTTGGCATACAGTAGGCACTTGATAAATGTAGAGAAATTCAGTAACTACCTCTCTGACATCACTCCCATCATCTGGTAGAATAATCACAGTAAAGCTGACAGAGATCCAGAGACCAATACTGACATTTATGAAGCAGGCACAGGGGCCAGAGATGCATCTTGTTCAAAGTCACACAGTAAAACAGTAACAGAGCTGAGCTCAAACCAAGTATCTGGCTCTAATTGTGGAAATCATTTCTGTTGCCCTATTTATTGAGCATATATTCTGTGACAGGTACTTTATGAGCACAGTCCCATCTATTCTAAGATGACTAGTGGGGATCTAGTCCATACCTCACTTCTCTCCTGGTCATAGCTGCTCTATACAGGATTGAGGAGCAGCCACTGAGCCAGGCTGACAACCAACCACCCTCTCCTGAGGCAATAAGGGTTCACTGCTTAGCATTCCATTCTCTGGGTGTCCACTGGCTAGGCACTGCCCACTGATACTTGTGCTGACTGTGTGACCAGGGAGGAGCCAGCTTCTGTTTGCCTTCTACTTCTAAACCTTTGCTTCTCTGGCTACCTCCTCCAGGAAGCCTCCTTCCCTGAATACTTCCTGAGACCAGAAAAGGACCTCAGTGGCTATAAATCCCCTTCCTGTGCCATTCCTTCCCACAGTATGGGAAGAAGCTTCCACTGTGGATGGCTCCAAGTCCCCAAGCCCCCAGCTCTCTACCCAGGGCTCTTTAGGCCCCATAATGTTCCTGTGACCTGTGGCCATAACCATATTCAACATACGCAGTGCTGGCTCCACTATCCATGTGTAACAGTGTGGTATTCAGTGCCATAGGCTCAGGATTCAGGATCTGGGAGGCTGGGGTCCCTGTTGACTCCATACCATGGTCACAGCTACACCTAGCTTGAGGGTAGAGGAGGCTTCACAGATGGGGAGATGGAAGATCATCCATGGCCCTGCCTATCTTTGTGCAGGCTCTTTCAATGAACTTTACAAACCAACTCTTAATTATGCCATCAGTCAAATGGGTGTCCCCTGTTATACGGATGAGCAAACCTGTGACACATTGCCAATTATTTCCCTCACTTCACAGAGAGGGAAAGGTCATCCAGAGATGCCAGATATCAACTGGAGCTGAGAGCTTGGAGAGTTGTTGAGAGTTGACCTGGGCCCTCTCAACCTATGTCTCCTCCTCTTGGCCTCCACCCTGCAGTATTGTCCTTAGGTCAAGTTCATGCCCTCCAACCTGGCCTCCTTTAAGTCTTCACTTTAATATCTGTCCTTATAGAAGCCATATGCTTTGGTGGGAATAGCATCCAGGCTGCTCCCCAGTCTCCCTCTGCCAGCCCAGCCTCCTTCTCCCAGCCCATCCTCTAGAACTTCCCACTGGACTGTGCAGTCACTCTCCAGTGTGGCTTTGTGAATGGAGATTTACCATTCACATACCTAAAGCATTAGAAAAGATCACTGTCATCAGCTCAGCCCTGTCTGTGCTGTGACTTCACGGAAGTGGTGGCATCCTCCCTCTGTAAGAGGAAAACACCCCCCGTTATCATTCTTCCATCAGCCTCAGTGGCAGGCAGCCTGTGGAATGCCCCCAAAGATCCCCACCTGCTGGTATTCCTGACCCGTGTAAACACTTTCCTTGGAGTGTGGGCTAGACCTGGTGACTTGTTTCTAAGGACTGAAATATAGTAAAAGTGACAGGATGTTAGTAACCAGCAAGGAACTGAACCGTACCCACATGAACTGGCATGGTTACAGATGGTCCCCAGTCAGGCAAGCCCTCAGGGCTGTTTGATCATAGTGCTTATTGCTTAAGGCTGCTGGGCATAAGGCTCTTGATCTGCAGGACAGATAACAAGTACACTAGGATCTATTTTGTTCCAGGACCAGTGACTGTCACTGTGTACCAGAGAGTAGGTTTACAGAAAGCAGATGGACATTACACCCCCCGCCCCCCCCCAAAGTCCTTGAGACTGAGCTTTGGAGACTTCCTAGAAGAGGAGATGTCTTAGGCAAACCCAAGAGCTGACAGTCATGCTGGCAACAGCACAACAGGAACAGGGAGAGAAGACACAGGAACAAGCAGAGCTGCCAGGACCCTGCCCAGAGGGAATGGAGCGGAAGTGGAAGGTCATGAAAACCTGGTTGGAAGGACAGAGAAGTGGATCACTGAGAGCCTCAACGGCCCCTCAAAGCCTAGGACTCCTCTACCAGCCAGCAGGGAGGGGGCTGTGTTGAGGACAGCAACTGAAGAAGAGCCAAGCAGAGTGACTCCACAGTCAGGAGGGAAGTTCCAGAGACTGGGCAGGGAGGAGGCTGGGCTGGCAGAGGGAGGTTGGGGAGCGGAGGGAAGCCCTTGGAGATCTGAGGGAGTGGAGAGGACAAAATTTAGGGTGTGAATGAATAGGTGGGTGAGGGGAGAGATGAAAGGAAAGCTTCCAAGTTTCTGAGGGCTCTCTGATTGTGCCCCTTATTAGGTGATGCACACAGGCTCAGAGACAGGTACTTGCTGGGCAGGAGGGAAAAGGGATGAGTTAACCCATGTGGAAACAGAGCACTAGGTAGGTAGCACTGCTTGACCTATCCAGGAATGCAAAGCTATAGGGCAGCTTAGGGAAGGGATGGTAGAGGCATTCCTGGAAAGGTAAGGGACTGTGACCCACAGTCCTTCCGGTACCCACCTGCTGCCCATAGCCAAGTGCTTTGTCGTAGAGGGCGATGCCCGCCTCCAGCACCTGCGCGTGCTCCTCCAGACTGGCACAGCCCACATCGAAGCCGTGCGCATAGCCCTGCTCTGCCAGGCAGCGGGCGGCACGGAGCCGGGGGTCCCCAGAGTCCTCCCCTGGCAGGCCCATGAGTTCAGCCAGTTGCGTAGCACACGCCTCCTCCTCTTCCTCCTGGCCCAGCTGCCCATACACATGTGCCAGATTGGCCCAGGCGTTGAGGTTGCCGGGGTCCTCGCGGGCCACCTCGAGGAAGCGCTCGCGGGCCTGGTCCAGCTCCTCCAGGTAGAAGGAGAAGGTGCCCAGAAGGTGACGCACAGCAGGCAGCTGCGGAGCTGCCACCAGCTCCAGCTCCTGCCGCAGGCCCTCGCGCTGGAGTTTCAGGTCCCGGGCCCGCAGCTTGGCAGGTGAACGCGGCTCGAAGTTGAGCTGCATCTCCAGGTGGAAGTGGCCGGGAAGGTAGTCCAGGTCGTCGAGGAGGGTGTCCAGATCCTCGGTCGAGGCTTCGGGCTCCGTCATGTTTGCCCCGGCTTGCTCTGGTCTTCCCTAGCCCCCCGAGGCTGCGGAGGACAGCAGATGGGGCGGGCCCCGGAGCAAGCCCCGAGCACAGGCACAGGCCACCGCTGCTTCCCTGTCCTGGGTGCCTATCACAAGTGGGTGGGTCCCCACGTCGGCCGCGGGATCGCCCTGTAGGTGTTTCCGCTTTCGCTGCTAGACATCAGCATTGCACAAGCGGGTGTGCCAGAAAAACAGGTGAGGTGCATTGCCAAAAGCGAGGCTGGAAAATCCTGGTGTGAGGTAAAGGCAGATTTCACTCTCTGCACAGCAGATGAGGACATAGGTCCAGAGAAGGAAGGGATTGGCCAAGGCCATACAGCCAGGGCATGCCCAAGGAGGTCTGGAACCCCAGTTTGCCCAGGCTGGCCAGGCCCTTCCTCCACCGCACTGCTCCGCCCTCGCTGCAGCCACCGTGGCAGGCTCCCGCAGCGCTTCTGTCCTCTTCCCTTGAACATAGTCGGCCACCGCCCTCCTACTTTTCCCTGGTAATTATACTTCCCACTTGGATTTCTCTGCGTCTCCTCAGCCGAGAAGTGAGCTCCAGTTGTCAGACCCAGGCGCCCAAGTGCTGGTTCTACTGCCGCTTCTCTAACAAAGCTTCCTTAATAAAGCTTGATCCCATATACATCGGCTCCCCTCTATGACATGATGCAGTCCCCGCCAAGGGGTAGGGGGAGACACAGGTAAAACTGATAAGTGGTTGCTCTGGAGACATGTAGGCTCCCTCTACTCCTCCCCACTGATGCCCTTCAGGTCCTGTACCCTGTCCCATGATTCCAGTTTTCTTGATCTGCCCTCTCAGTGTTGCCTTTCCTCCTCCCTCCCTCCCTCCGTCCCTCCGTCCCTCCGTCCCTCCGTCCCTCCCTCCCTTCCTCCCTCATCTCCCTTTCTTCGTGGCTCCTTCCCTCCACAGGGGAGGTCTCCGGGCTACTAGCACACAGGCTGGATCCTGGTACTCTGTTGTAGGGCATAGTCCCCTGTAGACTGGGCTCTGTGGGAGGCCTGGACTTTCTCGATCCTTCTCATTTGACCTGGGCTCCTGCCACCCCTGCCACATCCTCTTCAAAAACAGACCAGCATTTCCAAGAGGAACTAGAGGCCATTAGTGAATTTGAGGAAAATATTTAACTTTAGAAATATTTTCAAATCAAAACGTTGGTGCCATTTTTGCATACTATTTTTAGATACAAAATTTAATACATTTAATACTTTTTTAATGAAAAACTAAGTTGCTGTTAATCATGAAATAAAACAATCTCTCACATGGCTTGGAGTATCCAGGATGGGTCTCCAGAGGATTTAACTGCTTTTTTTTTTTCAAATTATGGTAAACATATACTTAACAGAAAAGCTTTCCATTTTAACTTTTTAAAATATTTATTTATCCTGTGTGTGTGTGTGTGTGTGTGTGTGTGTGTGTGTGTGTTTCTCTCCTTCCATCATGTGGATACTGGGGATCCAACTCAGGTTGTCAGCCTTGGTGGCAAGTATGTTTACCCACGGAGTCCCATTTTAACCATTTTAAACCGTATAATTCACTGGCATTAAGTATACTCACATTATCATGTAAACAATACCACCTTCCATTTCTGGAACTTTTCATCTTACAAAATTAACACTCCACATCCATTTAAACAGTAATTCTTGCCAGGTATGGTTTTAATACCATTTATTTAGGAAGGTGAGGTAGGAGGGTTGCAAGTTCGAGACCCACCTAAGCTTCATAGTGAGTTTAAAATTGGCCAGGGCAACATATAAAACCTTATCTAAAAATTAAAAAAAATTTTTTTTAAACATCTCTTTTGAAACACAGTCTCCCTGTAGCCCCAGCTGGCCTGGAATTCCCAGGTTGGCCTTGAACTCACAGAGATCCGCCTGCCTCTGCCTCCCAAGTGCTGGGATTAAAGGCATGCACTAGCATGCCTGTCCCCAAATAAAAGTATTTTAAAGGACTGGAAATGTAGCTCAGTGATAGAGTGCTTGCCTAGCATACATAATGTTCCATCCTGTTGCCAGAGAAACAAACAAAAAACTCCTCTCTTTCCTGCTCCCATGCCTGGCGTCTACCACTCTACTTTCTCTACCTCTGATTGTTTTACTTCATACAAGTGGGAGAGTACATTTGTTCTTTCACGTCTAGCTTACTGAGCATCTTGACTTCAAGCTTCATCCATGCTGTTGCAGGAGAACATCCTTGTTTTTTTTGTTGTTGTTGTTTGTAAATTTTTTTGAGACAGAGTCTTTATGTAGCGCTAGCTGACTTGCAACTCTCTTACTGCCTCTGCCTCTCAAGGGCTGGGATTACAGACACACACGACCAGACCTGGCCAGAATGTCCTTCCTTTTAAAGGGTAGGCAGTATTCCATTGCCTGTATCTGTCAACCTTTGTTTATTCATCCTTTGCTGGTAGACACAGGGGTTGTGGTTAGTGTGAATAATGCCTCTCTGAGCAGTGGCATGTCATACAAACACATGTTTGGGCTGGGTGTGGTGGTGCATGCCTTTAATCCCAGCACTTGGGAGGCAGAGGCAGGTGGATCTTTGTGAGTTCGAGGCCAGCCTGGTCTACATAGTGAGTTCCAGGACCCTCCCAGTCTCTAGGGAGACCCTGTCTCAAAAAGACAGAAAAAAAAAAAAGACATGTTTGGGTTCCTGCCTTTAATCTTCTTGCTGGATCATATAGTAATTCTGTTTCTTTGAGAAGCCACCCTACTGTTCTACAGCATCAGAACTATTGTTGTTTTCCTACCATCAAAGCACAAAGGTTCCAATTTCTCTATATCCTTGCTGACACATATGATTTTCTAATTTCCTTGATAATAGCCACCCAGATGGGTGGGCAAGGCTTTGGATCTGACTCTGAGAAGATGAGTAATGAGGGAAGTGGGATTGGGGATGTGTGTTTCAGAAGCAGGAAAGATTTGGAAAGGCCAGAGGTTACGAATGTAGGGTACCCTCAGGGCAGAGCTGTCTGTGTAGCTGGAGCCCACAGAGTGTGGGGAAGAGGTAGCAGGAGACAAGACCTGAAGATAGTGGCCAAAGCCCCTCACAGAGCCTTGATCCTGGCTGAGAAGCTTGATGTAACTGCACATGACTCCAGAGTCCCAGCAGGCCAAACTCTGCAGCCAAGGTGCATTCAGATGCTGCTGAGTCCCATGTGGGCTGTGTGACCCATGCCTCACTAGATGTAACCAGGGCAATTTATTCTAAGCCTTAGTTTCCTTTTCTGTATAATGAGGGTATGGTGAGAGGAGGTTGTAGTAGCACCTGTGAAAGAGCATGAATTAGTTGGCTAGACAAGGAAGTTTCTATGCTGGGGAGGGGTTGGACTGCCCAGGGCATGTGGCCTTGCTGTAGAGCTGATTCATCCTGGCCTGCTCTGGCTTACATGGTAGCCAGGACTCTGGCCTGTGGACCTTGGCTTGTATCTCCCACCACTCTTCCAACAGTCCTGCACCCAAGGGGCTCATTGCAGAAGAGAAGACAAACAGGCACAGGCAGGTCTATGCATGCTCCCCATCCCCCAAGAGTGTCTAACAGGCCGAGGCTGACAGAAGGGCCTCCTGCCCAGTACAAGGACATCCATACCTCCTGACACCTCAAGACAGCTTCTCCAGGAAGCTCCAGTCAAATATCCTGTCTCACGTGAGGAAATGGAATCCTGGTGAGCCCAGGGCCACAAGCTAGGAAGCAGCAAAGGCAGGATGCAAATTAGAGTTTCTCTGAGGGTTTGTGGGTTACTGGCCAGTTGGACTACATCCATTTATTCATTTACTTATCTCTCAACAACTATTTACTGCACATCTACTGTATGGGCAAGAACTGTGCCAGAAACGAACAAAATACATGTTGTCTGTGGGTCTTTGCAAGGTGCTTTCAAAGGGCTTGGAATGTTCATACTGCGCTCCTGCACCTAAAGAGGGTCATTTAATTCTCCCAGGAGTCTGGAACCTAATCATTAGCATTTTCCAGGTAAGCATGCTGAGACTCCAGGAAGTGACTTGCCTGGAGTTGCAAGGTGCTTTCAAAGGGCTTGGAATGTTCATACTGCGCTCCTGCACCTGAAGAGGGTCATTTAATTCTCCCAGGAGTCTGGAACCTAATCATTAGTACCATTTTCCAGGTAAGCATGCTGAGACTCAGGGAAGGAAGTGACTTGCCTGGATTCCCCGGGCTAGGGAGGGATGGAGGTCATGCCGGATGTCTCTGACCACCAGTTCAGCAGTGCACTGTGGATGCTCTGCCAGCTATGGCCATGTGCCGACCAGACCTGGAGCTGGAAGTCCGGTTCTGGGGTGTGCTAGAGGGCCATGGTCATTTAAAGACCAGCTTGGGACTGGGGGAGGCTATAAGGAGACCCGCTGTGCTTCTTTCTGGTGCAGTTTGCCACTGGTTGGATGCAGGATCGAGTACATCCTACACTGTTGGTTCCAAAGTCATTTTGTCACCATGGAATGGGGTATAGATGTCTGCTTCCCCTCTGTCAAAGGCCCCTGTAGGGATCCAAGGTAATGGTGGAGATATTGGACACTTTCATAGTAAGACCACAGAATGTCAGTTGTAGGGGAAGATTAGGAGGAGGGCATCCGGCAACTTTTCAGTCACTCTGCAAGTCATATGATTGTACGTTAAGTTTGGAATTCTCCTTCTCCAGAAGGCCCTCCTTGTAGTACCTGCCCACAGGCTGGATCCCAGGCTGCCCACTTTCCAGCCTGGACAAGCTGTAGGGTCATTATTTTGCCCATTAGTCTTTCAGAGCAGGGGACATATTTGGGTCCTAGGCTTTCTGCAGTGTTGGCTCACAGTGGGTGTCCTTATGTCGCTACATCCCTTCTGAGGTTCCTACATCCCTTGGTCTGTCTATCCAGCCTTATCTGTTCTCCATGATCCATCCTTGCCCCTTCCAAGTTCCCTCCAGTGGAGAAGGAACCGGATGCCCAAGTCTGCCCTCTCCTGGGCCTCAGTTTCCATCACCGCAAGGTGACCACGAAGGCAATTCCTGAGGCTGGGTTTTCCCCGGTCCCCGCTGAAATAAAAAAATAAAGAGTCCTCAGTAAGCAAGGACTAAAGCCTGACCAAGAGCTCTCGCATTAAACCTCAGGAGGATCCCCGGAAAGGATTTCTAGCAAGGCAGCATTGGGAATATAAAAATGAGTGAAAACGTGATGGGGCAATCAGCACGCGGGAAAGGCGCCACGTGGTACAGAGCAGGCTTGTGCTGGCTCACAAGGCCCGGGTTGCCGTGGCAGCGCAGCTTGGGTTGTGGTGTGCTGGGGAGGCTGGAGGCCAGGCTTGGTGGGACCTCGCGCCTGACTCCCATACGACATCATGTCCACCTCTGCCAAGTGGTTTAGAAGGGCGACCTTTGGGGTACAGAGCCACAGGTGGGGCCCAATCGCAGCCTGGGCTGATGTCTGTGTTGTTCAAGGCAGCTCCTGCCAACCCCCAGACCCTCTGCCTGGGAGACGCGGAGACGCAGCCTGAGGGCTAGAGCTGTGGGAGGAAAGGGGAGAGGTGGGGCGGCCCACCCCTCCGCACTGGCTCACTTCCCTGCCCAGGCTTTTTTCTTTCTTTTAAAGACAGCGACTCACTATGTAGCCCTGGCTGGCCTGGAACTTGCTGTATAGACCAGATTGGCCTTGGACTCACAGAGATCCCCCTGCCTCTGCCTCCATGCAGGACCTCTAAGTTCTTTTTTCTTTTCTACTTCTGCAGTGAGTTTTTACAAGCTATTCCCAGAACATCTGCTATATAACATGTTTAGAGAGGCTGTATCACAGGTCACTCAGGTAAAAAATCCTGAGTGGGATTCCAGCACAGATGTCATAATATTTTTTATAGTATGCTATTTGATATAGTTATATATAAATGGCTTACTATTTGTCACACATGGTTCTAGGATCTGGGGTAGTAAACAAACCAGCAATACCCTGTCCTCAAGGACTTTGGGATAGGGTAGGGTGGTAGCTGGTGTGAATAATAACCTTATATATATTATTGAAAGTATATGCAAGACTATAAAATATATAGTATGAAATAACGAGAGAGAGAGAGAGAGAGAGAGAGAGAGAGAGAGAGTATGGAGAAGAACAGACTGGTGTGAATAATAACCTTATATATATTATTGAAAGTATATGCAAGACTATAAAATATATAGTATGCAATAACGAGAGAGAGAGAGAGAGAGAGAGAGAGAGAGAGAGAGACTTTGGAGAAAATCAAAGCTGGGAGGAAAAGCAGAGGGTAGGGTGGGATTGGTGGGCCTAGAGCCCTGGCACACTCAAAGCAAAGGAGCAGCTCCAAAATGACTTCCATAGGCCTAGCTCTAAAGTTATCTCTCTTGGGACCAACTCCCCTGCCCCCTAGGATTGCTCAAGTCAGGACCAAGCGCTGGGCATTGGGCTTTCATCTGTCCTTGTCCTTCCCTAGGTTTGATGTCTCTGTTGTTCATCCCAACCAGAAGAAATCCAGCACCTTGACAGAGGCCTCATACTCCAGGCATCATTCTGTGGAAGTGGTGAGCCTGCACCTTCCCATGTGGTCCTCTAACTCGCATGGTTCACCCCTGTGGGTAACTGAGCTGCGTAAGCAACATGCCTGTGGTCTGTTCGTACTGGCAACTCTTGGCACTGAGCTTGGTTTAGACTTGAGCTTCAGATGTGTTTGATAAACTCATGGCTGGTGAAAACAGTAGGAGTTTGGAGTTGGAGAGACTTGGCTTCCTTTCCTAGCTCCTGCTCCAGCCCGACTGTCAGTGATAGAGGAGGTTGGGATCACGCTTTGAGTGCTGAGTCCCTGGGTGCCAGGCTGGGTGCTAGGGGACTGTCTGGCTCCATCCCCAGGTCAAGGGTAGCTTGGGAAGGGCTTATTCCATGGGCAGATTCTGTGGATGTGACTGGCCAGGCTCTGATCTTACTCTAACTCAGTTCCACATAGGACCTGGGACCTATAACTCCAAGGAGACCTGCTTTAGCAAGAAGTTCCTGGAACAGAAGCTACTCGACTGACCCAGCTCCCCCACTTCCAGTACAAGGCCATCCTGAAGGAAAGACAGCAGCAGATGGGGCTTGGGTCATGCCCCTCCTGACTGCCTGGGTCAGGCTTCCTGTCCTGGGTCCTGGTAGAGCTAGCTCCCCCTCAGAGAATACTGTCGTTCCCTGGGCTCCTTTCTGGCTGGATCTTCTCTGGTTCTGCTTTCATCCTGTGCTCTCTTCTCTTGGGGCAGGAGCATAAGCTGGGGCCTGGCTCTTACAACTTCAAAGGCTTCTTAACCCAGCTGCAGCAGAAACCACAGAGCAAGCGGGGGCTGCTCTGCTGGGGGAGATCCGCTTCCAGGGACGCGTTGGGGTAGGTACTCCACCCTCTGTTCTTTGTGGGAAGAGCATTGCAGCTTTGGTGGTTCTGGAAACACCCTTTGAACCTGTCTCCTTCACAGGCTTGGCTATGCTCCCTGGGTTCTTCAGTGCCCTTTGGCTTTCATATATCTCAGTTTTAAATAGTGTGACTGTATTCTAGTAGGGATGATGTGGTTCATCTCTAGGTCTTAAGAAAGTCTGTCATGTATTAGGAGCGCGACAAATTCAGCCAGCCAGTCAGTCAACCAGGAAATAATAATTACGTAATGACTGAGTGCCATGGGGAGTCTGGCAGTGACAAGGATAAGGCCTCTGTCCTCATGGAGTGGCATCTTAGTTACAAAATCACAGTACAAAGAAGGAAATAGGGGCTGAAGAGATGGCTCACTGATTTGGTTCCCAGCATCCATATGATGGCTAACAACCATCCATAACTTCAGTTCTAGGGGACCCATGCCCTCTTCTGACCTCCTTGGGTACTGCATGACACAGGTGCACTTACATCCAGGCAATACACTCATACACATAAAATACAAAAAATAAATAAAATATTTTAAAAGAAGGAAATAAAAACACAGTTTTGAGGAGAAAAGACACAGGGAAGGGGAGTGCTGTGAGGGACAGTTTGCAGAGGGCAGTTCAGGAAGGCCTCTGGGAGGGAGTACCACTGGTATAAAACCTGCAGGTCAGCAGCAAAAGCAACTCAGACTTCCTGATTCTTGGGCTAGAGCATCCTGGAAGTGGGAAGAGAAGAGGCTAAGGCTCTGAGGTGGGAATATACTTAGCCAGTTTACCAATAAGCAGGCAGTCATATGTCTGGAGAGAGTAGGTATGGTGGGAGATTAGGAGTAAAGGCTGGGGAGGGGAGGGGAGGGGCTGCAGTCAAGATGAGGCCTTTAAGTGCCTCGATGATGTGGGAAGACACTGAGATCTGGGCAAGCCAAAGACTTGATTGACAATTTTGAAGGAGCACTTGTTTGTGGGAGTGAAAGGTGGGATGCCACCCTGGGCATGCAAATAGGAGTGCTGGTGAGAGGCAGGAGGGATATGGGGGCAGCTGTGGGCAGAATGCCCACCCCATGTGTCCATGGAAAGGATGCTGAGTCAGACCCAAGCTCAGAAGGTAAGGGAAGAAGGCAGGAGACATCACTCTCTTATAGAGGGAGCACTACGGTTTGTTGAGGGCCTTCCTTCCTTTGCTGGTGCAGCCCTTACCATATACTGACTAATGTGATCCTTGCAGCCGTTCTGTGAAGCAGGCATTGTTGCCATGACCGCTTTACAGATGACAAAACTAGAGTACAGAGGTGGAGTGACTATCAGCCCAAGGTCACGGAGCTGCTTGGTGGCAGCAGCAGGATTAGAATCCAGAGTCCATGGTACTGGAGAGATGACTCAGTAGTTAAGAGCACTGGCTGCTCTTGCAGAGGACCCAGGTTTGAGTCCTAGCACCCATGTGGTGACTAACAACTATCTATAACTGCAGTTTCAGGGGATCTGACACCCTTTTCTAAGCTCTGCAGGCATTGCACGACACGGGTGCACTTACATACATGCAGGCAATACATTCATACACATAAAATAAAATACTTGAAAAAAGAATCCAGAGTCTGACATAGAGCTACTGTACTATATTTTTTATTATTTTTATTTTTTTGTAGTCCAGTTAGCCTGAAGCTCACTGTGTTGCCCAGGCTGGCTTTAAACTTGTAGCAGCTCCTGCCTCAGCCTTCTGAGTGCTGGAATTACAAGCAAATGCCACTATGCCTGGCTGTTGCGACTATAATTTTACCCCTCATGGCTCCTTTGGCTCTTGGATTTGGTTCTCCGAGGATAGGTCTGATCTCAGGGCTCAACCCAGTTAATGGCAGAGGAGTTGGGGGCAAGTCAGATTCCCCTTCCTATGTCCCCAGCCTCTAGCCCTGGACCATTTTACCTTTGTTCCTTCTGCTTAGGGGAGCTTTCCACCCTCATATTCCTCTTTGGGGATCCGTTTCCTTCTTCAAAGTCCAACTTAAATAAATGTGACCATTCTCCATTGCCTCTCCCCAAATTAGTCATTCCTGAGCCCCCAAAGCTTCAACAACAAAGAATTCTAATTAAAACCATAGGTTTTTCCATACCAACCCAGTGTAATACTGAACTTGAAGGTCTTGAGGGGAAATGAGATTATGCCAGGAAGCTAGTCTTGGTTCACAGTCCATGAGCTCCTTGGGCAGAGGCCATTCCATGACTGTTGTTTGCTGTCTACCCCCGGAGAATGGTACAGGCTCAGAAAGAATACTGGATTAGAGTTGGCACCCTCATGCTGCTTTCTGGAGGTGGGAACACAGACGTGTAGTCTGCCTTTTGGAGACTTGGGTTCCCTGTGTGTTGGTTGTAGATGGTGCTGAGTTGGTCTCATCAGGTCATTACAGGGACCAACTTGTTAAGGCTTTGGATAAATCCAGCACAGTTAGGGGCCTATCTCCAGAACATACCAAGATACCTTAAGCCATGGAAGGAGGTAAGGCCTACTTTCATTCTTCTGGGGACAGACAAATCAGATGCCCACAATAGCCTGACCCTCCTAACAGAGTCTTGCTCCCTCTGCCAGTTCTGGCTCCCTCAGGGTGAGCTTGCAGGAACCAGTTACAAGCTGATTCATCTGTGGAGCAGCAGTGCCTCCATGTGGCTAAAAGGTACATTCCAGCAGCAAAATCCTGCCAGGTCTCACCCAAGACAAGCACCTACCCACCTGCCTGCATTGCAGGGTGACTTTGCTCACTGCACCTACAAAGACCAACTTCTGACTCTGGAAGTCAGTCTAGACCCCTGATGTCACAGTTCCTAACTTTTCTGCCCTCAAGACTGTCAGTCACCTCACCCTGACTGTGTGATAGAGCCTACTATGTGACAGGCCCTGGGCAGGGGGCTTTACAGACATTCAACTCTCTCCTCATTCCATGCAGGAAAGTATTATCATCCCTGTGTTAGTGCCATGGACCATGAGGCTCAGAGGTCCAAGTTCCCCCACCTAGGAAGCAACAGAGCCAGGATTCCAACTCCAGATACTTGTGGACCCCAGCACTGTTCACAGCACAGTGAGAAGCTGGTCACTAAGCTGCAGGCTTAAAGGGTATCAAGGCTACAGAGCAATGTTGCATTCTGGGGAGGAAGGTGTGGATTCCACAAAGATGGTACATTGAGGGGCTTTGCAGGGTTGGTATGATTGCTAAGCTACAGAGCAGGAAGGACATTCTGGGGTATAGAAACAGCATGAGCAAGAGCAGGGAGATCATATGCTCAGACAGCTGTGTAGATGAAGCCGAACTTGGAGTTGAAGGTGTGGGCAGTGGAGGAGGCTCACAGGTGACAGTGTGTGTTGGGGTAGCTAACACAAGTGCAGCCTGAAAATTCTGTTTCCCTCTTGAAGTTAGAGACCCATGTTGTCTTCCTCAGATGAACCAGCACAAAGAGAAAGGCTGATGGCTATTATGTTCCCACCTCTTACCCACAGAACTGCTATCCAGGACCTGGAAATTATGGAGAGAAGGGCAACCCATTCACTCGCCTGGAGGAGAATGCCTGGAACCGCTCTCATTCTGAGGGCCTCATGTGCAGGATGTCAAACAAACCACCTCCCATGAAACACCAGGTACCCCACACACACACACCTGGCTAGCCCTCCTGCAGAGGCCTGGAGGGAGGTTCATGTGCAGGATGTCAAACAAACCACCTCCCATGAAACACCAGGTACCCCCCCCCACACACACACCTGGCTAGCCCTCCTGCAGAGGCCTAGAGGGAGATCCCAGGTAAGGGAATGCCTAAGCCCCTGTCACTCCCCTGCAGGCACCCTCATGGCTGTTGTTTCTAGGGGAGTGGCCTGGCACCTAGCACCTACACTATGAAAAGCAGCATTGAGACCTATATGGGAAAATCCACCAGTACCCGTGGCCCCTATGACATCTTCTCTGGTGACCGTACCCTTTGGACATTACACTATACAGGTGTGTGTCTGGGTGGTTCATGGGTGGCTATGGGGTCCATCCCCCGGCAGGCAAGCTTCACTGATCAGCCATAGGATCATGGCCCCATATGCCAGTTGCTGCTGGGGGCCCTCCCCAGACCCTACTCACTTTGTCCCTCTGCCAGGATGATATGTGGCTCCCTGTGTTCAGTGAGGAAACTGAAGCTAGTCACACAGATGGTGAGAGGTCAGAGACAGCATTTGAACATCTGATTCTATGACTAGTTTTCTCCTTAGCACCAGCATGACCTACTCTGGATGTGTAGGTGGCCCAGCATTGGGTAGGTAGTCACCACTGGCAGGCCTACAGGGACCCCCAGGTGTAGTATTCTGCTAGAACACTTCCCAGACTTCATAGACCCAACTAGGCTGGCCGGATTAGTGGACGTGAGTGCTCTGTTAACAGGGCTGAAAATTGGAGGGTGGGAGGGAAAAGAGGTAGAATTCAGTTTTCCAGACTCCTTTCCTGTCCCCACCAAGCTCCTGTTAGGGGATTTCATAGGTCATTGTGCTTTGCTTTCTTCATGCCCATGGCAGTAGGAACTAAATGTGTGCCCAGACTTATTTATTCCATCGCTACATGCAGTCACTGGACAAGCAGAATTAGCTCATGTCATAGTCCAGGTGCAGGGAAGTGAACCTTGTGGAACTTCTAGTCTAAGGAAAGAAAAAACCACACTCAGTAATGAGTACCGAAAAAAGAGAGAAAACCTGAAAGCTTCCATGTTAGAAGGTGGCAAATGTGGTGGCAGGGGGTAGTGCAACAGCTAGGAAGGGAGGCGGTTAATATGCAAACACTTTTGGAACATTTGGTACTGAGTCACTGACCTATAACCTGTGACAAGGCTGCTCCCAGGGCTTCCTAGACATCCTGACCAGCCACTAAAGCCACTGCCCAACACACCAAGGGCCTCAGGACCCTCACAGGTACTATAGCCAGTGCTGAGTTTGTTTGCTTGTATTTATTTGCTGTAGTTTTTTGGTTTTTTTTTTTTTTTTTGTCTTTTTGAGACAGGGTCTCCCTGTAGCCCCAGCTGACCTGAACTCACTATGTAGACCAGGCTGGCCTTGAACTCACAAAGATCCACCTGCCTCTGCCTCCCAAGTGCTGGGATTAAAGGCATGCACCACCATGCCAGGTATAATTTTTTTTTAAAGGGCAATCTCAGGTTCACAGCAAAGTTGAGAGGCAAATATGGCATTTCTGCATATACCCTCTGCCTCCAGCACTAAATGCAGCCTACCCCCACTGGCAAATTTGGGGGAGTGCTTTCTGAGACAGAGTCTCCCTGTAGCCCCAGCTGGCCTGGAACTTACTGTGTAGACCAGGCTGGCCTTAAATTCACAGAAATCTGCCTGCTTCTGCCTCCTGAGGCTGGGATTAAAGTGTGACCACACCTGGCATGCAGATATTTTTTATATACATTTATTTGGGGTGGGGTTACCATGGTGTGTGGGTAGAGGTCAGAGGACAACTTGTAGGAGTCAATTCTCTCCTTCTACCATATGGGTGCCAGGGATCAAACTTAGGTCTTCAAGCTTGGTGGCAGGTGTCTTTATCTGTTGAGCCATCTGACCAGCTCCTCCCTCACTATCAAAAATCCCATACCAGAGTAGTGCATTTGTTAGAGTCAAGAAACTTATAGTGACATGCCCTTGTCACCACAGCCCATAATTTTATATGAAGCTTCCTCTTGGAGGTGGTCATTCTGTGTATTTTTTTTTCCATTTAGTTTTGTGTGTGTGTGTGTGTGTGTGTGTGTGTGTGTGTGTGTGTGCCATGATGCCTGTGGACGTCAAAGGGCAACTGGTTGGTTTTCTCCTTCCACTATGTGGGTTTCAGGGATTGAACACAAGTTGTCAGGTGCTGTGGAAAGCACCTTTACTCCTGCTGAGCTATATCACCCGGCCATTCTGTGGGTTTTGACTCATGTGACTGGATCCACATCTGGAGTATCATACACCATAGTTTTGTTTTTTTGTTTTTTTAGATAGATCCTGTGACTTCCTGATAGCCACACAAAATGGCAAGAGAGGTGTCTTATGGTGTTCTCGGCTTGTATACCCTTAGCCCCTCCCCAACATGCAGCTAAGGTAGACTGAATATGTGGGAGGGGTAACTGATTCCTCCCTCTCGACTCCATGACAAGCATGGGAAGGAGGTACGACTATAGCTTGTTGGCAAAGTGGTCAGAGGACACTTCCAGGTAACACTCCACCCCTTCCTCCAGCTCTTACATTCTTTCTGCCAACCTCTTCCGCAAAAGTCCCTGAGCCTTGGAGAGGGCGATAGGTGTGGAATGATCTTCCTCTCATTGTGGCAAGACACTGAACTTTCAGGTCTCTGAATCATATTTTCCATGGGCTGTTGGTCCATTTCAGTGGGATTCCATCTATTATAAGAATATAGTGCTAGGATCCACAAGAAGGAGAGCATACATACGGTACAGGTTTACCAACTGAAAAATCTTCTGTGTTCTGCCAGTCATGCTGGGTTTTAAGTAGTTGAAATATAGTTCCTGCCTGGCATAGTAAATGTTCAATAAGAGAGGGAAAGAAAAGATGGCCTGAGTAAAGGCAAACTGAGTAGTAGGGTATAGCACATGGTAGTAGTGCTGATGGGGGTTGTCCAGCCTGGCTGCCAGGCAGGGGCGTGAATGGTACCTCATGCAGAGCCCTTTGCTTTTCTGTGAGGCTAGTACAATCTCTTTTTCTCCCCATTTCTCAGAAAAGGAAGACCAGGGAACTGGCAAATTTCAAGAGCTTCGTGGAAGAACTTAACTCACATCACAAGAAGAATCATGGGTTTTTTTCAAAATTGCCCCAAGAACCAAAACACCCCACAGAGAGAATTTACTGGACTACCCTTAGTCAGTACCCCCGAAATCTGGTCAGTTACTCACTTGGCCTGCCTTCTCTCTTGGAAGGCAGCTGGGGAGATTGGGAGAAGTGGGGTGCAGTGGTTATCTGGAGGAGGGAGCTGTGTCCTAGGGATCATTTTGTTGCCAGTCTGGTCTTGAGCTTACAGGTCGCTCTCTGAGCCTCTCTTTGCACACCTAACCTGCAAATGTAGCCGACAATTGCAGTGGCTGTGAGAATTCGAAGGGGTTACCTGCATAGAGCCCACAGATGAGCCTGAGCCCAGGAAGGGCAGTCATTGTTGCTTTCCACCCTGTTCTCCCTTCCCTGGCTGGAGAGTAGCCAAGGGAGCCTGGGCTGGATAGATGTGATAGGGCCCACCGTCAGAGGTTAACCTACCTTCTCTGTCCAGGGAGGGACAGGCTATGCCTGGTTCAAGGCAGTCCTTTCAGGCCAGTGGCCAGTGCTCTGAGTAGGACCTGGCTTTTGTCAGCTCCCCAGGCAGGGTCTGCTCCAAAGGGTGTGGGTGGGAGTGGAGCAGGGAGGCAAAGGGCACTGACACTTCCTGACCACTAACTACTCTCCAGCCCCTTCCCCAGGGAGGAGGGAGGGGTTACCACTCAAATTTCACAAAAGGAGACTAGGGTGCAGAGCTTGGAAAGGATTCACTGGGGCTCCCCAGAAGGGACAGGGGAAGAGCATCGTTCCAGAAACCTGAGAAGAGGTGTTAGGCTGGGGGTGGATAGAGTGAGTAGCATGGGACATGTGGGACCTGAGGATGCTTCCTTCCCCCATCCATCACTCAAGGTCCAGTGGCACCAGATAGGTGAAGTCAACTGCCAGCAACCCTCAGTTATCCAGCCCCAGGCAGAGACTGCTAGGGTCCCCTCAACCCTCAGCCTTCCTTTCTCAACCCTAGGCTACAGCTGGCCCCAGTGAGTGGCTTCCTCATGAGACAGAACTGAAACATGTCAAGCAGCCACCATTCCTCCTGATCTCCAAGCAGTCAGGCATTAAAGCTAACCAGATGATTTTGGGAAGCTGGGTGAGGAACATGATGGTGGACAGGGAATGCATTCCTGCCTCTACAGAGAGCCCTGATCCTTCTTACCTTTGGCACAGATGCTCTGAGGGCCTGGTGTTATCTCTTTCACCCACTCAATGTCTTATTTTTCGAGGAACTGGGTCTCTAACTTGATCACGTAGTGGCATCACCAGAGGGCTTGTTAGAGGCCCTGCCAGGGCTTCTGATTCAGTAGGCCTTGGGTAGGGGGCTCCAATTCACATTTCTAACATGTTTCTAGGGTGTCCTAGTTTCCTTTCCTGTTGCTGTGATAAAATACCCTGACAAAAGCAACTTTAAGGGAGAAAAAGTTTATTTGGGTTCCAATTCCAGGTCATCATTGTGGGGAAGTGAAGGTAAAGGATCTTGAAGTAACTGGTCATATCTGCAGTCATGTATGCATGATCAAGACCAGTCCCCCACAAACATGCCCACGGGCCAACACAATTTGGACAATTCCTCATTGAGACTCTTTTCCCGTGTGATTCTAGACTACTGACAATTAAAATCAACCATCACATGGAGACCACACTTTGAGAACCAAGGAATCAAGAGGCCTCACTGCACAGATACCTCAGTCTCTTACCTTCTCTGGGAAATGCTCCCTCTGTTATCTTGGGGCCTCAGGAACAGCTGATGGAATTGGCCCATTTCTCATGCTTGGTTAAACAAGTCCTCTTCTGTCCCTTTCCTGTTCCTGCTCTTTTTCCTGAGCCTGTGCTGCCTGATGTAGCCCTTAGGTTGATAGTGTTCTCCCAGAACACTAGGCCTGATCTAACATTTGTTCACATGCCTTTTTACTGTGCTCCAATGGCCTTACTGATGACTCCATGAACCCTTTCTCAAAGTTTATGAGTCACAAGCCTGTTACCACCTCTGGAGCACTCAAGAGCCCATTCCCAGCACTCTTGGATCCCTGAATGTCCCTCCCCTCCCTCCCCCATAGTGCTTCCTTCCTCCAGCAACACAGGAAGCTTTGTCTGTTTTTTTTAAATATTTTATTTATCATTTTTATTTATGTGTATGAGTGTATTGCCTGCATGTATGTGAGTGCACCCGTGTCGTGCAATGCTGCGGAGGTCAGAAGAGGGCTTCAGATTCCCCTGGAACTGGAGTTAAGGACAGTTTGTAGCCGCCATGTGGGCGCTGGGAATTGAACCTGGGTCCTCTGCAAGAGCAGTCAGTGCTCTTAACCGTTGAGCCATCTCTCCAGCCCTGCTTTGTCTGGTTTTAAACATGCTCTTTTTAGGATATCTCCTGGTCTGTGTTAGTTACTTTTCACCGTTGTGACAAAATAATAGAGAGAAATCAATTAAAGGGATGAAGATTTATTTTGGTTCAGAGTTTCAGAGCTTTCAGTCTATGGTAGCTGACTCCTTTGGTTTTAGGCCCAGGGTAAGGCATCATCGCAAAGGAAAGCTGCTCACTTCATGGAAGACAGGAGGCAGAGAGAGAATTAATGAATGCAGGATCTTAATATATTTTTCTTCCATCTAGGCCTCACTGCCCAGTAGCCCATTCAGTTGTGAATTCATCTGTGCATATCCACTGATGAAATTAGAACCCTCATAATCTAGTTACTTCTCAACTGCACCATCAGCTAGGGGACAAGCTTTTGGGGGGCACTTTATGTTCAACTCACAACATAGTCTCTCTGGGAACATCTTGCTTGTCATTTGCCTGCCTTCTCACTATGTTCCCTGCCTTAGCTCACACCCCAGCACCTGAGCTGTCAGGCACCCCAGGGAAAATGTTTAGGCTAGAGCCAGAGAGCTATGCTATCCCCACAGGGCCAGTAGCCTAGTTTCATTTCTGTTGCTATGATAAAACGTCTTTAACGAAAAGCAGCTTAGAGGAGAACGTTTATTTTAACTCTCAATTCCAGGTCACAGTCTATTATGGCAGGGAAATCAAGGAACTTAAAGCAGCTTATCACATCACATTCACAGTCCAGAGCAGAGAGAATGACCACATACATGCTTACTGCTCAGCTCACTTTCTCCACTCTCATACAGTCCAGGAACTGTACCAGCGGGCTGGGTCTTCCCATATCAGTTCACATAAGCAAGACAGTTCGCCAGATAGGCTCACAGGTCAACCTGATCTAGACAATCTGTCCTTGAGACACTCTTCTTAGGCGAGTCTAGGTTGTGTCAAGTGGACAATTAAAACTAGCGATCACAGCCCATGATGCAAAATGGAGGGACTATGTGAGGGTCTGTTCCAGAGACAGGCCAGGAAGGCCCTCTGTGAGCACTCCCACTTGATGATGGCTTAGACTGTGACCTTAACACCTCCCTATCCTCCTTGCCTGTGCTTCTCTGTGCTGCCCTTACTATGTCACCTTGAAAAGCTATTGTCCTATCTCTGAATCTTTCCTCAGGCAGACATGGATGGGATGGTGTATGTGTCATATGAAGGACACAAACCAAGTGGCTTAATCAACAGATGTACTTTCCCAGCTCTGGAGGCCAGAGGAGCTCTAGAGGCTAGAGGACTAGAGTCCACACCCCTCCTGAAGCCTCTAGAAGAGAACCCTTCTTTGCCTCTTCTCAGCTTCTGGTGGTGGCCTGTGATCCTTGGCTTTCCTTGTTTGTGAATATCCTACTCTGATCTCTACCTCTGTGTATGCCCCCCGCCATGCCTTTTATTATGAGGACAACAGTCATATTGGTGCAGGCCATACCTGCTCCACATGGCCTCATCTTGGCTTAGTTTATCTGAAACAGCCCTATTCTCCAATAAAGTCACAGTGTAAGTAACTAAGGTAGCACTTTAGCACATCTTTTGATGGGGGGAGGGGACACAATTTGATTCCTAACAGCCTGGGTAGGCAGGGACCTGAGGAGAAGGAGGAAACCTGAGGGCAAGTCTCAAGCCAGGCTCACTAATGTCCTGGTGTCTTTTCCCTGCCACAGAACCCAGTAGGGGTGGGCCGCTACCTCAACACCACACTGATGGAGACCAAGGACCCACAGCAACGATACTGGTTGGTGTTCTTGAGTGTACCCAAGCGCTACCTTGCAGACCCAGCTTGCAACAACCTCTCTTGCAGTAAGTATAGATTGAACTGGACTGGGGGCGGGGTCCCCATGCTTGGTTCCCATGGGAACACAGCTTCTGCCCCTGATGCCAGCCAAACAGCAGAGGCCTTGGAGAGACACTGAAGTTTATATCCTGGTTCGGCCACTGAGTGGCTGTGTGAGGTGGGGCAGGCTGCTGTTCTCTGAGCCTCATGTCCTTCAGCTGTCAAGTGAACAGATAGCTAAGGAGACAACGGGGGTGGTCTGTCTAAAAGTGGAGGTAAGGCAAAGGTGCTCATTCAGTCCTCCACCATCTGCGCCCAGCCCTGGCCGCCCCACAAAATCTCAGATTCTTGGTGCTCTTAGTGGGTTGGTAAGAGCCGCTTCAGGAAGTTATGAAAGCTAAGCACGAAAGGTGCGTGAAGCCCCACGGCAGACTGTGAAGAGGTCACAAATGTTAGCTCCATGTTTTATTGATTCCAGAACTGTTCAGATTTGACTAAACATGCATTTCAGAATTGAACATTTTGTTTCCTTGAAAATTATGACAGGGGCATGCAGACCTGGTACCAGGGACCAGATGATTGCTCAGAGAAACTAGTTCCTTTTTTCCTTTTCCATTTTTTTTAAGGTGTGTGTGTGTGTGTGTGTGTGTGTGTGTGTGTGTGTGCATGTACATGCACACGTGCTGTGCGTATGCTTATGTGTGTGCATGTGCTTATGCATGTGTGTTTATGTATGTTTTGCATGTGTGTGGGTGCTCACGCATGTGGAGGCTGGAGATTGATGTCAGGAATCACCCTGAATTGAGGCAAGGCCTTTCAGTCAAACCCAAGCTCACTGATACGGCTTTTTTTTTTTGGCCTTTTTTCTGTAGCCCCAGCTGGCCTGGAACTCACTATATAGACCAGGCTGACCTCAAACTCACAGAAATCTGCCTGCCTCTGCCTCTCAAGTGCTGGGATTAAAGGCGTGAGCCATCAAGCCTACACCCACTCAACATTTACTTGGGATTCTGGGGCTCCAAACTTTGATCTTCACACTTACCTGCCAAACCCTTTAACCACTAATCCAGCTCCCCAGCCCCAAACTAATTTTTGAATATAATTTTAAGAAAGTTTTGTTTATGTCAAAGTAGTCCTGTGCCTTCCCCTTCCTTAATTTGTTCCCTCACGTGGGAATTCCTGAGACAGGAGAGGTAAGTTTCAATAGACAGTGCATGTGAAAGTGCATGTGAAAATCCACCGGCACAGTTTGGTTGGAAATAACCAAATTAGTATTCATTTTTCCTCAAAATTCAGAAGGCTTTCCTTCATATTTCTAGCTTCCAGTGTGTCTGTGAAGTCTGATGCCATTCTGACTTTTGTATGTGACCTGCATGTTCCTTTCTAGAAGCTTCCAGGACCTTCTCTGTCTGTGTGTTCTGAAACTTCATGGTGATAGGATGTAATGTAGTCTATTTTTCTCCACTGTGCTAAGTAATTGGTGTGCGTCTTTGACTTGGAAGCTCAGCACCTTCTGTTCTGAGAAGGTTTTATTTGGGGTTTTTAGCTATGATGATTTCTCCCCTCTCCTTTCTCGTCTTTTAGATGTATGTCAGATGTCCTGGTTTGGCATTCTAGTTTCTTGTCCTTGTGTGTGTGTGCCTGTGTGTGTGTGTGTGTGTGTGTGTGTGTGTGTTCACATGTGGGTGGGCATTCACATAAACATGTACACATGCAGGTGAAGGCTGAAGTTGACATTTGGTGTCTTCCTTGATTACTCTCCATTTTATTCATTGAGTCAGGGTTCACTTGAACCCGGAGCTTGCTGATTGGCTGGGATTTCAGGAGGGTGTCATACCTGTCCAACTTTCCCATGGGTTCTGAGCATTCAAACTCCAGTCCTTGGGCTTGTGTGGCAACTGTTTTGTCTACTGAGCTGTCTCCCTAGCCCCTTGTTTCTTGTCCTTTAAAAAAATATTCTTTTTCGGGGCTGGAGAGATGGCTCAGCGGTTAAGAGCACTGACTGCTCTTGCAGAGGACCCAGATTCGATTCCCAGCTGGCTACGAACCGTCCTTAACTGCAGTTCCAGGGGAATCCAAAGCCCTCTTCTGACCTCCGAGGCATTGCACGACATGGGTGCACTCGCATACATGCAGGCAATACACTCATACACATAAAATAAAAATAATAAATAAAATAAATACTATTTTTCTTATTTGCCCTATCTGCATTTTCTGTTTTTTTTTTTTTTCTGGCAAAACTTCCTTATTTTCCAACCTCAATTTTATCTTGTTGTTGTTGTTGTTTGAGATGAGGTATCTCTGTAGCCCCAGATGGCCTGGAACTTGCTATGCAGACCAAGCTGTCCTTGATCTCTGCCTCCTGAGTGCTAGAATTAAAGGTGTGTACCAGAAAGCTTGGCCTCTATCATATTTTTAAATTTCTAGGAGCTCTTCTGTGTTGTAGATTGATGCCCCTTTTACTTTTTTATTTTTTTAATTTTTAAAATATTTTACTTATTTTATGTGTATGGGTGTACTGCCTGCATGTAGGTAAGCACACCCATGTTTTACAATGCTGGCGGAGAACAGAAGAGGCTGTTGGATCCCCTGGTGTTGGAGTTACGGACAGTTGTTAGCTGCCATGTGGGTACTGGGATTTGAACCTGGGTCTTCTGCAAAAACAACCAGTGTTCTTAACCACTGAGCCATCTCTCCAGCCCCACTGCCCCCTTTTATAGTACCAATGTATTGGTCACTTTTCTGTTGCTGTGATAGAAACACTGGCCAAAGCAATTGATAGAAGGAAGAGTTTATTTGAGCTTATGGGTCCAGGGGAATTACAGCCTGTCATGGCGGGAAGTGGCTGGAGGAGGAGCGGAAGCTAAGCTCTCACATCTTCAAGCAGGCACAGGAAGCAAGAGACCGACCAGAGATCTGGCAAGGCTTAAGAACTCTCTAAGCCCACCCCAGTGACGTGCTTCCTCCAGCATGGCCACACCTAAAACCTCCCAAAACAGTGCCACGAATTGGGGACAAAAATGTCCAAATACTTGGAGCCTATGGGGGGCATTTTCATTCAAACCACTACAACCAAGTTCTGTGTCATTGATGAAGGATGTCTTTTATGTAAGGATAACAGTTACAATTTTCTTCATAGTCTTTTGCTCTGTGCATTGTCTCCAGTTCTTAAGTTCCTCTTTTCTTCCCTTGTTCATTCATATTAAGAGGAAAGCACTGCCCATGCTGAGAGTCTGGGGGTGGGGAGGGACTGATTGGGGATCTGGTCATTTATCTGTCATGTTTTCAGGACTTTCTCTGGGACCATTGGGCTTCCCTGGAGAAGAATCCTCTGTCCTGAGTAAGATCAGTGTAGGCGTTGTGCTTTGGGGCAGAAGCTGGGTGCCTCCTGCAGTCTGTGTTTCCTACATGCTGGCTTTCTGGTGTCTGTCTGCCTAGTTTCCCTGGACCCAGCCTCCCAGCCTCTTGACAAACTAAATCACTGTATCCAGTTGTGGAAGAAAGGGAGGTAAGGAACTAGCGTGGGTCTGGTCTTGCTTTCCATCCCTGTTTTCTGCTATTGGTCTTGGGCCTGATGTCTGAGATCTTGCTGCCTGCAGTTCCTGTGATTCCCTGGAGTTTGTGGCAGGATTTGGCTCTGATGCTGCCCAGCTGTCTCTTTAGCTGACCCTCCCTGCACTTTTCTTTTCTTCAGGCATGTTAACTTGCCTCCCCTCTCATATTACCTCTCTTGTTTGTTTTAAAAAAAATTCCTTTAAGCATCTTTTCATGGATCTCAGGAGGGAATAGAAATAAATGTATGTATGTATCACCTGCAATTTAAAAAAAATTATTATTTTTATTTTATGTGTATGAGTGTAAGTGCACCCATGTCATGCATGATCCATGGAGGTCAGAAGAGGGCATCAGATCCCCTGGAACTAGGGTTGCAGATGGTTGTTAACTGCCATGTGGGTGCTGGGAACAGAACCAGGTCCTCTGCGAGAGCAACTGGTACTCAGCAGTCGAGACGTCTCTCCAGCCCCCTCAGCTGCAATTCTTAATGAACATTAACACTGTTAGTGTGTAAGAGCATTTTTTCCCTTTCTGGCCAAGGTGCTTAGCCTTATTTTACACATGCTGAACCAAGACCTAAGAGGGGAAGGGAGCAACTTGCCCAAAGCCACACAGCTGGTGAGCAGCAGCATAGGGAAAAGAAGCCAGTCCTTCCTCTTCCTGGTCAGTGACTGTTCTTCCCACACATCAGCGCCCAAGTAAAGATTTGGGAGTCGAGGATGAGTCATGCCCTGATGCCCACAGAGCCATTCCTCTCCAGCACCATAGTGCTTGCTCAGCAAAGGGCTCAAAGGAAAGGAAGGATGCTCTACCCACTGAATGCTCTGCCTTCTCACCCTGAACATCTATGACCAAAATTCTCCTTCACCACTGTTCTCCCATCCGGGCTCAGTCCTGTGAGAGTTAGAGGATTTTCTTTGTGGTTTGGCTTATAGTCCCCCGCCTGCCACTTAGCTCTGGGGGCTGGGCATGTTGGTAGACAGACTTTCCTCATCTGAATAAAGGTAGTCACTGCCTTACAGAGTCTGTTAGAAGGGTTGGGAAAGCTAACTAATGCATATGAATGTGCTCTGGGCTGTGGATGCTATTTATTGGTATGTTGCAAGCATTAGTTTCCTCTCCTTAGTAGCTAACGCCTTGTCAGGATTCTGTGTTTTTCTTTATTTATGGGAATTTCTTTATAGAGGCTTAAAATGCACATCATTCAGGGACAGAAACTGTAATGGCTTAAATCATCTTTATTGACAAAGATCCAAGGAAAAGCCTCTATTAAGTTGGAGATTTTGTAATAGACACAGAGGGAAATGGAGGTCCAGAGGGTGGACAGAGGCTTTGAAAGAGGAGGCGGAAAACACTGAAAATAACTATTCAATTCTCACCCAAGTTGAGAATAAGACATAGTGGCTCAGGTTGCTGATAGTAGTATTTTTTTATTTTTCAGTGTTCATGTGTGGTGTGGTGTGGTGTGGTG